TAGCCAGTATCCCTTCTGAATTTTCACAAAAATCGAACCACCCTATTTACCAAGCGTATTGACTGTGTTGCTGCGATCTTTTTTTTGTTTTCATTTGGGTGAGTTACGAATCACCCGGTTTGATTATATGTAAATGTTTAAGGCGAAGGCTACGATTTATTTAGAATGACTGGTTCGGATTTTTTTATTCATCTCTCTGTATGTATCGTATGATCGACTTCAAAATTCACGACCGAATTTGATGGGGCCCCCGTAAGAACATATACTGGTTAATTCATTTAAATGGCGCGGTCACCATTAACACGACAGTTATTGCACATATTTAAATTTACTGTTGATAGCTCATGGGCGTATTTACCATACTATACCACCAAGTCAATGCATTTTCCCTCTATGCTGTGTGTGTGTGTGTGTGTGTGTGTGTTTGAAACATTGAAAACTTTAAACCATAAAAATATTTGAAAAGAATTTATCAGTTTTTAATAGTAAATGAAAAAAGAAAGAAAGAAAGAGATATGTTCGGTTATTCAATCATTTTATCTCAATCGGCAAAATGGCTTGGATCGAGATTAGAGTAAACAATTTTCACTGCTCCATGTGCAATTGCGTGCACGTAAGCTTAATAGAGTGGAAAAACAAGGTTTCATTCGGTTGATGTAATTTTCTTCTAGAAATTGTACACAAACACTTGATGACGACAACGACACAAAAACACACAAAACGGTTTGGTGGAATCACAAAATGCATATGACATTATGAAAATTTACGTAACACTGATGATAATAATAATAATAACAATAATAAAAAGCGTAATTGCAATCGATGTGTGCATATAGCATATGCTATCTGTTTTTCCTTCAATGCTGTGTGTGTGTGTGTGTGTGTGTGCACAAAACCGATCAAGTTGCGCCGCATAAAAATGCCAATGCGCATTTTCGATATTTATTTTTTTTTTCGTTCAGTATGCCTCACTGGTTCACTTGTTGCCACCTGATGGCTCACGTACGGATTTATTCAAAATAGTCACTTTGTGCGCGCGTCTCGTGCTTATTTTATCTATCTCTAAATGTTTTTTTTTCTGTTGTCAGCTTTGTGGCTGTTGTTTTTATTTTGAGTTTTTCCTTCATTTGAAAAGAAATCGAGCACGATTATTAGCGGTGTGCGCGTTGCGCTCGCACACATTGGACGACACACGACCAGAAATTCAAGCGATGGATAAATGAGCCTCAGCTTAATCGAGAAGATAAATGAATGTGTAATAAATAAATATGCAGCAGTTACTGTCAATAAAATGCAAAGAAATGAACAAAAATGCGAAATAAAATATAGAAAAAACATACACACACACTCTGTGGTCAGACAATTGAAATGAAAATAACCGCTGATCGTTGATTTTATAGAAGCTGTAATTACTACAACTACTGCTGCTGCTGCTCAATTTGAATGCATGCTTCTATCGTTAGCATGCTCACCTCATTTGAATTTGAATATCTTCATGAAGCAAACAAATGTGGAAGAGAAAAAAAATTGAAGGAGCAAGAAGTGAATCGCCATACAAAATACATCGTGATTGAAATACATTAAATTGGTTTGGCAAAATGAGATACGTTATGCGATTTACAAAATGGATTTCTCGCTCTCGCTAACTATGCCACATTTTTTATTTGTAATCGCGCGCACAAACTTGATTTTTCGAAATGGTTAATAATCGAATTCAATTTGCAATGCGCAAATGTAGATCGCCATAAAATCTATCATGCAAACTTGCACACTCGCATTGTTGCCGTTTCGTTTCCCATGTCAAACAGCTATCGATTTTAAATGCACGTGTGATTCCAAGAAAATAAACAGACATTATATTGGACATTTCGAATTGCATCGTTTAATTCGGTTTAAAAACCAGTACACATCCCAATTCAATTGCTTTGGCGACACATTTCGCCCGAATTTACAATTATATCGAAATTATTTTTTTTCGCTAAATTGAAAATAATCCATTTGTATGCCATGTATGACTCGATTCGGTTTCTATTTTTTTTTGTTTTAAAACTATGCTAAATCCGCCTAATTAGAGCGAATTTGGTTGAAGTTCATGCTGAACAGGAAATGGGCCAAGGCGATATTTAAACTTGAGTTTTTTCACTTTATGCGCCATAAAATATATATTGTAGTTTTATTGCGATAGAACTTGTATTGAAAAAGCCAATCCTGTGTTGGGATGGTTTGCAAATGATGGGAAACAATTTACTTTTTTTTTCAAGAAATTAATTAGCATCATTGAAACACATCATTTCGAATGAATATTATCTGATCGATGTATTATCGGCGACTATCGGTTTTGTACAATTAGATATGAGAACTTTCCTGCCGATGTCAGACAGCTCACCATCCAGTTTTTATTGCTTTTTTTTGTATGCGATCGTTTATTTATACTGTGATTAGAAATGAGGAAGTGTACATTTTTTAGCCATTCATCCATAGTCAATTTGTTACAAGTGGCCGTAGTTGTGAGTCGTTTGTTGGTGTCTTTTTATCTGTCTTCTTCTTATATTGTGTATAGAGAAGATGAGTTTCGATGTTCGATAGCAGTCGTTAATCTCTTTATATGTAAATAAATGCATATCAAGGCAGATTGTTAGCATTTTCGTACATTGTGTTTCATGCGAAGAAGGAAACCACTTTTATTATTATAGAATCGTAATCTACATGTGAAAAAAAATGGTCTTTTGTTAGTACATCTTTTGTTTCAAATGCGATTTTAATCTAAATAATGACATGGATTTTTTATTTGTGGGCAATGATTTTTTTCAACTCTTTTTTGCAACATTGAACAAATTTTATTCAAATGCTAAATTATAATTGATTTGACATTTTTTGCCGTTCAAAGAGTTTTCGTCATCGAATCTTGGAATTTCGTGCACGTCTATCGGTGACAAAGAAAAACAGGTGCTTCAAAACAATAAGAGTGAAAATCGGCTTCACCTTCGTATGGTATGCTCTTTGTTATCGGGCAGATTAATTTGCATTTCAACAAAATACGCAAAATGAACGAAATATGTTTCTTACACATTTTTTCATTTATTTTGACTTTCTTACATTTTTATGGGCGCGCTATTTCTTCATTTTGTGCAATTTAACGCTGGTAAAATCGAAATACATGTGAATGTGTGTCAAAACAGGCTCTGTGCTCATTAAATATTCGAAGGGAGTAATAGATGGTAACACTGTATTGAAAAGCGATTCAGTAACATCGATAATTGATGTGCCTGGTGTGACACCTCTTTCGTAATAATTTTCATTACCATTTCGTTCGTCTTGTGTCGCGTAAAGTCCAATTGAATTAAGCAATTTGTGTGTTCAAACGAAATACGAAATTTCCATGAAATGTAAATTAATTTACAGCTCAAAAGACGACAAAAAAATATAAAATTCGGTTGAGAAAAGGTGAAGAAAATCTCATGCGTGTATGTGCGGCATGCATTTTATGACCCTGGTATTTACCAATGATGGAAGAAAATGATCGTCTTTCATCGAATCGCGAATGATTGACACATAAACATTGCATTTTAGCGTCTCTTTTTACGTATATGTGTGCTTGTGTTTTTTTCTCCTCTCGGAATATTATTATTAAGAATTGATCGATCGATGCAAGATGCAATTGCTCAATTTAAAGTGACGGACAGCATTCTTTCGATCTAACCATTTTATCATGGACTCTTCGACATTCTTGATCAATTAGATTTGACACATATTTACAACATGTATTAAAAAATTGAATGGCAAAATGTATCATCAAACGAGACGCGTGAGCAACACTTAAATTGAGCGGTAGATTGTTTATATTTTCACTTAATTAAAACTCGAAACATATCGACCTTATTGCAATAAAAAAGTGCACATACGCCATAGATATAGAGGTAAACACAAACAAAAAATAAAACGGTGAACGATGAGACATTTCGTTGTCGTTTGAAGAGAAGCTCGTTGTCGATTGTCGCAACCGAAAAAAAACCCAAACAGATTGCGAATATTCATCATCTGCGGAATAACATTTGATGGTGCTTCTTTGTTGTTGTGTATACGAACCGAATGATGGAACAGTAGTACACGTGATCCATGCTAAATCCATTGCCCAGTGAATATAACTACTGCTATCTGCTTCATTTCTACAAATAACGATGTGTTTACATTGATTCATTTAAAACAAGCATGCGTATGCACATTTAATTTCGACGCGTGACCAGATTCCATGATTTAGCTTGACTATAATTTTGTGTACATTACGATTTTTTTTTTTTTTTAAAAAAACATACACACATATTCTACGGCCATTTGAAACTACAACCGGAATATGATTTGGATTGAAGTTTATTATGTGTACGATTATATACAAAAAAAAAAAAAAAAATTTTACAACCGTCTACCGTCGCACAAGAATGTGAATAAAAATAGCGATATCACACAAACGGCTAGACTAAGATAGAAGAAATTTATGCACATACACAAATGATACACAACCAATTATACAGGCAACAACAAAACTATTGAAACTTCTCTGTCTCATCAATACACGCACAATGAACAATGCCGTATCGCACAACCTCACGATTAAATCGCGCACCATCTCATTTATGTGGTGTGTGACCGAAGCACACTTGAAAACGAAAAAAAAAAAAAATTGGTGGAATTTTTGAGTATAAAAAGACGACGAGCCAACCGATTGGCATATCAGTTTACCTTCCTCATTCAAACAGTGAGAATTAAGTATCAAATTTAAGTGCAAAATGAATACCCTCTGTGTAAGTAATTTGGATCGAATTATTTAATCGATTAGTGATTTGTGATCAGAAAACAAAAGTTCGAACAAAACATTTGTTTCGAGTGAAGTGTTGAAAATAAACAAAAATTACAACGAAAATGATTTGCTGGACTGCAATGAATCATTTCAGTGATTTTTGTTGTTGATTTAATTGTTTGATTTTAAAAAACCGAATGAAATTGTCTTTTAGATTGCAGCCGTATTGTCAGTGATCGCTATTTGCCAAGCTGGGCATTTGGCGGCACCATTGGCCTACAACGCACCTCTCTCTATCCCATACACCGCCGCCGCTTATCAATCTCCATTGGCCTATCAACCATTTTTGAACGCAGCCGCTTATCAAGCTCCATTGGCATACCAAGCTCCAGTGGCCGCCGCTTACCAAGCTCCAGTGGCCGCTGCTTACCAAGCTCCATTAGCCGCATATCAACCAGTTTTGGCTGGTCGTTCGTTGGCCTATAGCTCAGCACCAGTTTTAGCAGCAAATTCCTTGGCTTACAATAATGCCGTTTTAAGATCCGCTCCACTTGTCAGCGCCGCAGCTGCCCCCCTCTCTCTCCCAATTGTAAGTGTGAATTGCGAACATTTTCAATGAACGAAATAACAAAAAAAACGGATTATTCTATAATTTACACTTTCGTTTGAAAGGCTAAAACTGCATCATTTGTCGCACCTGCTGCCCCTGTTGTCCAAGCACCTGCCGTCGTGAGAGCAGCCCCAGTTGTCCAAGCTCCTGCCGTCGTAAGAGCAGCACCAGTTGTCCAAGCACCTGCCGTTGTAAAAGCAGCCCCTGTTGTCCACGCAGCACCCGTTGTTGCTGCGCGATTCGAAGAAGCCGACGCTTATCCACAATATAGCTATGGATACAATGTTCAAGACGCTTTGACTGGTGATTCAAAAACCCAAGAGGAAACTCGCGATGGTGATGTTGTCAAAGGTTCATACTCATTGATCGAACCCGATGGTAGCCGCAGAACCGTCAACTACTACTCAGACCCAGTCAACGGTTTCAACGCTGTAGTACAAAAAGATTTGCCAGTTGCTACACCTGTTGTTGCCGCCAAACAAGTTGTTGCTCCAGTCGCAGCCAAAGCTGTCGTTGTTTAAGGATCATTTGTTTATCTTCCCCCCAAAAATGCGAACCGCCTTCCTATTCGAAACACTTCACCTCTGATAGCATTTAGTATATTCTCTTTCTTATGCAACACTTGAAGAATTGGACGCAGAAGAATCGCCCACCCGATGAAAACAAATTGAAATGTGATTTTTCCCTCGGAAATGAAAAGTTGTGTGTATCTCATATGTTGATTATATGTTGAGCATACCACTAGTCACTTAAACCAAAACCAGCCAAGCCCAGCCAAACACATACACACACACAGTCACCATCAAAGCAAAGCGATTCAATACTGCACAATACAACAAGGGTTTATTCATTCAATACTTTTTCTAATTCCATTGTTGAATACTTTTTTTTAATTGTAAATAATAGATATATTTTTTTAGTTGAAAAATATACTCCAAATTGAAACTGAAAAAAATATTTACTGTCGTTTTATTTCTATTACTATCGATGCTAATTAATACTTGCCACTTTTGTTTGAACGATAAAAAAATGAAATGTTCGATTTTTCATTTGCAGCATTAAAAAGGATGAATTTTATCATTTGTCCAAACACGAGAATCCATCTCGAATGCGTTTGAAGCTTGAGCCATCGCTGTATCATGATGCCCATACAGCTGCATCGAATCTAAGAGACAATACAGCCAGTCACAATACTGATGAACGTCGTTTATCGCATGAATTTGGCTCTTCAATTGTACCGGCTGCAGTGAATGACATTTTCACTGAAGACGAAGCCGCTTTACTCGAAGAAGAAATGAAAGCGAGTGTCGAACCACAGCAGTAATTATTTTTCTTAAATTGTTGATTCTCATTCTTCTTTTCTTTATGTATATTATAAGTTGCCCAATTTTCTTTCTTTAAAGGCAAGAAATACCAGCCGAAAAAGTGGTTATATCACAGGATTGTGAGTTGGTCACATTGATGACACGAGTCAAAGGCCGATTAGAAGTAACATCACGTTTATTTTCATTTATCGATTTGGATCAAGCAAACGAGGAAGGCGAACATTACGATTTCAAGTGAGTTTTCATCTTCTACTTCTTATTCTTCATTTGCTCACCCGAGATTTGTTTCAACATTGATATTAAACCCTTCCGTAGATTTCCGCTTAGTCAAATAAAGGAGGTTCATTTGCGCAAGTACAATTTGCGACGCAGTGCGCTGGAAATATTTTTGGTTGATCAAACGAGCTACTTTTTGAATTTTACAACGAAAACGCGAAATAAAATCTTTTCGAAAATCTTAAGTTTGCAACCACAAAATCTGTTGTATGGATCGGGTCGTTCACCGTCTGAACTATTAAAACAATCGGGCCTCACACAAAAATGGGTCAATCGTGAAATAACAAACTTTGAATATTTGATGCAATTAAATACAATCGCCGGGCGTTCATACAATGATCTCAGTCAATATCCGGTATTTATCGTATATAATTGCATGTATGAGTTTGATTTTGAAAAAAACTTCAATTTAAAATCTTTTTTCAAGGTATTTCCATGGATTTTGGCTGATTACAGTAGCCCAATGTTGGATTTAAATGATGAAAAATCATTTCGGGATTTAAGCCGACCGATCGGCGTTGTAAATCCAAAAAATGAAGACGAAGTGCGTGCCAAATACGATGGATTTGAGGATCCAACGGGCGTCATACCAAAATTCCATTACGGAACACATTATTCCAATTCGGCTGGTGTATTACATTATCTAATTCGCGTTGAACCGTTCACATCGCTGCACATCGAACTCCAAAGTGGTCGTTTCGATGTGGCCGATCGACAATTCCATTCAATACCACAAACATTCAAACTTCTCATGGATAATCCAAATGATGTAAAAGAGCTTATTCCGGAATTTTTCTATTTCCCTGAATTTTTGAAGAATTTAAACAAGTAAGTTACTGTTCGCATTTTCATATTGTATCAAACATGTTGAAACATCGAAAATTAACGCCCATCAAATCATGCATTTTAGATTTGATTTGGGAACATTACAAAATACAAAAGAACGTGTTGATGATGTCATTTTGCCACCGTGGGCCAAATCACCGGAAGACTTCATTTCAATACATCGACGTGCCCTTGAATCCGAATACGTTTCGCAAAATTTACACAATTGGATCGATTTGATTTTTGGGTAAGTCGCAGTTTCATCAAATTGCTTGATTCGTTTGATTTGGTGCCAATTTAAAATAATAAATGCTATGAATGATTTATGTTCGTGTGCAGTTACAAGCAAAAAGGACCACGAGCGGTTGAAGCGTTGAATGTTTTTTATTATTGTTCGTACGAAGGAGCTGTTGATTTGGATAAAATAAGTAATCAAATGGAACGTGAGGCTGTCGAAGGAATGATTAACAATTTCGGACAAACGCCATCACAATTGTTGCGCGAAGCTCATCCAAAGCGGTTAACACAAGATGAAGTATTGGCAAAATTATATCGCTTTGAATTGAAAAAACCGGATGTAACAGCATTTCTCGATCGAATCGCTCATGTCAATTGTGATTTTACCAGTGAAAAAGATCCGATTGTGTTTTTGAGCACGCCGCGCAGCCCACCGAGATCATTTTTACAAGCCAGTCCCGATTTTTTGATATCAATATCGAGAAATGCAATTTTGGGATGTAATTCATGGGTGGCACAGGAGAAGGATAAAGGATTCCTTTTGGAAGTTGACGCCACCACCACCAATTTAAAGTGAGTTTTATTTTCAGTTTTTAGTTTGCAATTTTTTGATATTCAAATGGAAGAAAAGAGCATTCACATTATACCAATAACCATTATGCAGGAATCGTAAAAGAATCAATGGTCCATTCCATCCATCGATAAATTTGCATTCACGAATGTTTGCGGTGAGTTTGGATGGTCGTTACATCTATGCAGCTGGCTGCTGGGATAATTCATTGAAAGTGATAAGCGTAACTCGTGGAAAACCAGTTGCATCCATACAAAAACACCTGGACATAGTAAGTATACTCACAACTGGATATATTTGGTTTTTTTTTTTCAATGAAAGCATCTTTCAGATAACGTGCATTGCACTTGACAATTGCGGTTCGTATATTGTGACCGGGTCACGAGATTGTACATGTATTGTATGGTCGATAAGCAATGGCACATTGAATAATGTCGCATCCGTAAATCCGCCAACAACACCAACCCACATAAATCATCATCAGACAATTGGTCATAGTCAAATGAATACGCAAAATAGTTTAACACCGCGACCAGTGAACACACTTTACGGTCACGACAAACCTATATCATGCGTTGCCATTTTCACCGAATTGGATATGGTCGTTTCCGGAAGTGAAGTAAGATTTAAATCTCAAATTGAATAAATGAAAGTGTTGACATTTTTTTACTCGTTTCGAAATAAACAAACATATTTTTTCGGTTTCTTGTATAGGATGGCACAGTGAATGTGCATACAATCAAAGATGGACAATTTGTGAGAAGTCTATTGCCAATTGATTGTAGCGGGCCGTCAATTAATATCACATTCTTGGCATTATCGTATCAAGGTAATTGCAGTCTTGATTGTCAATTGAAGTGAATGCAATCCAGCCGATTCGTTTCATTCAATTTAATTAACAATTTGCGGTGTTTTTGTGTAGGTCATATTGCTTTTTCGGCCGTCGATGATACATCACATTCGGTGCATGTGTACAGCATAAACGGTGCACATTTGGGCTCAAAATATGTTTCGGGACGAGTGACTGGTTTGACAACGGCAAACGATTATCTTGTTGTAGCTGATGATGCTGGCGATATAACGATGTCTCGTTTATATGGGTAAGAAGAAAAAAAAACCGCACTGTGTGCATATTTAGAAAGCAATTTTATAGATATTTCAATTTACTTTGCTCAATTCTTTTCCATCAAAATTAATTGCAATTCCGGCAATTGCAAGAAATCATTTAACTCGCTAAATGCCTAATATTTAATTTGTGCATTTATTTTTCTTTCTCATTTCTTTTTTCTGTTTACTTTTTCATCTCATTTATTTCCCCCCGCGCACTGCATGTAATTCCCTGGGACTGATATCGAAAAAACAAAAACAATATAGGCTCAAACCAGTTTTTGATATTCCGCTGCATATACCTATCCAGACAATTGTGGTTACACCCGGAAATACGCATTTATTAGCGCCGTTGCGTGATGGAAAATTGGCGTGTATTGGTGTTTCAACGCCAAAAACCACGAAAAACAAACATTCCGTATTAAGTGTATAAAATATGTCAACACACAAATGTGCAATATGTGTGTATGAGCGCACTCGCGTGCGTGCGCGCGCTTGATGTCGTGGAGTGCACCGATTGAGATACATAATTGAGAATGAGAGAGAGAGAGAGAAAAAACAGCAGCAACTACATTTTTTGTATGTTTTCCATTTGATGAATCTTGTTTTGATAAAAAAGAAACACCAAAATGAGCAAATAACAACAAATAAATAAACAAACTAATCAAGCATATGCCAACATAAGTATGAAACGAAAACGATAAAAAAGCGAATATGTAAACAGTTATGTAATTTGAATGAAAAATCACACAGAGCCCAGAATGCAAAGAAACCAATTAAACGAATTAATTGTCACTACCGAGAGATAAATATATGTGAGTGCGTGTGTATGTGCATGTACAGCACCTGTTTATCATTGCACTCGAACGAAAAATGCGAAAAAAAAACACACGGTTAAGATGTTATGATTATGAATAGAAATTCGATAAATAGGAAGAATAAAGATGTCAATCGATAAAAGGTTGCCGGTGCAGTGATTCGGTGACATTTCTAAAAATTCTGCCATTTATTGGAATTTACTGTGTAATATTTTAGAGACAAAAAAATACCCTTAAAAAATTGCATCAATAACAAAAAAAAAACAAATGTGAATCCCTTCAAGAAAGTATTCCGCTGAATTTCGTTATATTTACCAATTTACCCGTTTAACGATGAGTATCATAGATAATGTAAGGTCAAGTAGACAAGAAAAAAATCATCTAGAATGTTCTATTAGTCCCTTTTTAATGTGCAAAACAAAAGTGTTGAATAAAAGCGAAGAAAATGTTTGTATCTCATTCAATTACTATATTTGATACACGATTCCATACAGAACTGGAATGATATGTTCGATTTTAAATATTTTTAGTGGTTTTTAAATCAACCTTTTTCCGTCTCAATATTCAATGGAAAATGTTTTTATAACAGGAAAAATGTATTGTAAAAAAGAAATTTGCACTATTTAAATTTACACACAGATCGTTTTCACACACACAACACACACACAAACAATGTTTTTGCCAATTTCCAAAATGTTTTATACACCATAAGAGTTTTTATTACCATATGCTCTCTCGAAACAAGTTCGTTTTGTACAAAATGAGATACGAAATTTATATTTTTTCAAGAAATTGTTGACATTGTTATTGAGAAATACAACGGTGAAAAAAAATGTTTACAATACGCGCTTGGCACATTGCAATTTTGAAATATTATCACTGCTGAAATGAAAAATGTTTTTTCAGGAATTTTTGCGCTACTCTTATTTGCCAATCATCAACATTTTCGAATGCACATTGTTTTTTTTATTGAAGAAGGAATCACTTTAACGTCTGAATTGACGAGGTGATAAGTAAACCCCAAACCGTAATTTTCCCAACTGTGAAATATGAGACTCAATGTAATTGGAAGCAATAAGCGAACTGTCAAACATATGATTTTTTTCATCTATTGAGGGAAAAAGCAAACATTCTATATTTAGATACTATGACATAATCCAAAAAAAGAAAATAAACCACTATATCAGAATACATGTATGGGATATACCTCATACATTTTAGCAATGTTAAATTTGTAGCTTAATCGAAGTATGAAACTGATTTATAATATATTTCTGTGTTATTTTAAATGAAAGCAAAAGGTTGAGAGATTAAAAATATCTACGATTGTCAAGTGGAAAAATATGCTCCGAATTTTTTTTCGAAAACAATGAAATTTTGCACTCAGGCCGTTTGATTTATAGCCTGAAATTATATCACAAAGAAGATACGTCACAAGAAATACATTTCAATTTTACTAGTAAAACTTTATTATTATTTTAATTCCTAGATTGATTGAATTTTCCAGCTAATATCTAAAAAGATTTTTAATTGAAAATTATGTGCAATTTTATTAAGTAAAAAAAATGTGGGCCTGTTCCGCTGAGGAGGAGGAAAATGAGAAAGAGGAGAGCACCTAGTGTGAGGGATAGGACTCTCCTTAGTGCTCTCCTCCTCCTCCTCCTCCTCCTTCTCCTCCTACTCCTCCTCCTCCTCCTCCTCCTCAGAGAAACAGTCTCTGTAAAAAAAAAGATGAAAAAAAATCCCAAAAATAAAATACTATCGAAGTGACTATGATAATTTAATTTAGATGATACTGAGTTAAAAGTTTTACCGAAGACATATGAATTTAATTGTGAAATGAACATTATCAATTACAATATATAGAAGAAAATTATGTTAGAAAATGGCCAAAACTGTATGATTAATAAACTCTCCTCATAAATTACAAATAACATTCAATATTGCTTATTTTCTAAATGAAAAGTTCAGAAAAGACTCGAATCGCTCCCAAAAATGTCTACTCAAATATAATATAAAAATATGGAAGAAGCTAAATCAAAATTCAGCACCACAGGTAAGAGAAAATTCACCATCGGCTTCAAGTGTTTCTAGTACTTGCTCCAAACAATTCAAGGGATGCTGGTCCTTAGAAAAAACTTAGGCGTCAAAAGTAGCGAAAGAATAAAAACTTGTTTGATTTTTTTATTTGAAAACTGACCATTTATTTATTGATGAATTTTGTTGATATTCTGTTTCTTTTTTTTTTCGTTGCAGATAAAATCAAATGAATGGCATATAATTTTCATAAAAAAAAAATTCCGTGATTTTTTCATTTTCCATTGGAATTTGCATTCCATCAATACAATAATAAAACTTAAGACATATTTACATAGACAAAAAAATAAGTAAAATAATAATTAAAAAAAAAGATTGTTCATCTTTAGTTCTGTCTTTAAAGTAGTAATACTAATGAAGCAATTTCTTTCTATTTAATTGTTGCTATTGGTTTTGTTTGAAATTCGTTGTGTGAATTAGTGTTGATGTTTTTGGTGTTTATGGTTAGTGTTTGAAGCATACACATTTTGCATCTGCCACACATTTTCAGGCAACAGATGTCAGAGCATATGCATTTAGACAAATAAGACAATACAATAAAAAAAAGTGATATTATTAATGCAAGCTTCTATAAATTAATAGGAATCATTTGAAATCAATGGTAATGGTATTTGCTTGTTTTCGTTTATGGTTTGATGGCTTAAGAATTATATGACACATTGTGTATAATTTTACGTATTGTTTACTGCGCGCCGCTATCTCTGACATCATTAAGCATCGCTCGCATTTTCAATTTGCTTTGCAATGAAAATTCAAACAAACATACAGTTCTCACTTTTTTGACAACAAATTTCAATATGCTAGCTACAAATGTGTTTTGATTTCTCATTTTTTTTCTTCTTCTCTCTTTCCTTTCATGTTTGAGCATTTCAAACGTTTGCATATAATTTATTTATAGTGTTGTATGCACATATGTTTTAAACAATATTTCAAACACGCATATTATTTTGTGAAATGAAGCGGCACGCATCACCTGTACATCTTTCATTTTACTAAAATTTAATTTGCACTTTGTTTGTGTGAACGAAGCATTTCATGGATATTGTATAATAAATCTTAAAACATAAATAAATATTGAAATATTAATAGAATAGTGTTTGTTAAGTAAGTACATAAGAACTATAATTGGCATAAGGATTTTTTTCTCTTGCAATTTCTTGTTTTTCTTATAGCCTGTTTTCGATTTCATCTCAACTTTTTCATTGGGTCCACTTTATGGGGAACGACTGTCTATTTAGATCGGACCATTTAATCGCTCTGTAATTTAACAAAAAAAAAGAAGAAGTTAATTCAAACTGTTCAGACTTGAAGCTCTGAAATCAAAGATTAAACAATCCCCGTTCAAATGAAGATAGCTACAAAAAAAAATGTTAACTTACCGATGGATAGACGAATGTTTCAGCCGTGTCCTTTGAGAGTGGATTGCGTGCAATACAGTGGAACAGACCCATATCGGACCATTTGAGCGGTGAAATTAAAAGATCACCGTTTGATAAGACCTTATGCCGTGGATTTTGTGAACCAATTACATTTTGCTCAGTATCGACCCAGTAAATTTCTGCAGTTGGTCGACCCGATGCCTTGCATGGAAGCACAATTGTTTTTCCAATCGATGCAAATATCGTCGAATAGAACGATAAAATGCGCACTTTTTTAAGTCCATTTGATCCGGAATTCGATGCCAGTAAATCACCTTGGTTGGCATTTTCATTTGGATAAATGCTTGTTGATTCCACGGCAGTTTTACCGCCCGCACGTCCGACACAAGTGAATGTTCTCTCCGCAACTACCGAACGATCAATGATTAAACGTGAAATAGCACGTGCACGTGACGTTGGATTACTTTCGGTAATGGCATTCGATTCGAAGTCCAACTATTTGTTCAGAAAAAAAGGAATAATTGATAAAAATTAGAGAGGATGTCTATGACAATCGAATGACTGTGGGAATGGAAGAAACCAAAATATATGAATAAAATGCTTACATTATCGATTGTCTTGTCTCCGCGAACCCAGTGGATGCTTGGCGGAGGTGAACCAATCACGTCGCACTCCAATTCGACGGTGTTGTCAGTGTGTGGACGAATCTTGATGGGCTTCACTTTGACCCATTCGTTGACTTCGACAAAAGCCGTATCGCTAGAAATTGTGTTATCCGGTTGCTCATCAATTGCACGACCATTCACGCTGCATGCCAACAGGGCAAATAAGCTCAAGTAGATAATTGAATTCATTTTCTGAAAAGAGACAGACAAAAGAAAGAGAACGTTAGTAAAATGCGTAAAAATTTGAGGTAAAATATTTGCAGAATAAAGCGATTACGACTAAATGCATTTTTTTAAAGAAGCCATAAGAAAACCATAGATTTATTGCCTAAAACGATAAAAAATAAAATTCACATATAGTTAGCGCTGCATTCTATGCAAACTTATTTTCCGTTGTAACGGACTAAGTGGAAAGTATACGCTTATTACATAGAATGTAGCGCCAACTATATGTGAATTTTATTTTTTCATCATTTTAGGCAGTAATCTTATCGCTTCTTTCAAATTGACTGTTAAATAGTGCTGAAATAAATGTGCGTCAATCAAAAATCGATCGATTGTGATTTAATTAAAGGCAAGTTTTTCACTTCGCCAATTTCAATCGATCAATTCAAACGACGCAAATTTTCTTAAATCGCAATCAATTGACATAAATGGAGGAACGAGGAGTTAATTTATTGACTTTTGATCATTGATCAAAGTTGTTGTTTGGTCTTGTCTTGTCTTGTCGCAAGTGACTTGAATATTGGTTGGTGCGTTTGAGTTTATTTTTTGCGCGCCATTACGTCTCAATTCAATCATTTGCACTCACAATTAGAATGAATAAATTAAATGAAATCTCATGCAATCCGTGCGGCCATTGTGCGGTTGTTCTGGTCTACCGCAAATCAATTCACATAAATTACTCTTTCATAAAAAGAAACACAAGTGTGTTTTTTGTTGTTGTTGTTGTTATTTTTATACACTTAACAACTCAATCAAGTTCGAAGAACATGAAATAATTGATATCCTTATGTGATTTGATATGGTTGTGTGATCGATTTTCATTAAATGGGGGCTCGTCTTCGATAAAATCAATTCCGCTTGATTTATTTATATGCAAAGCAAATGTGAGGCAAACAATAGCTTGTATCACATCATTTTTACATTTTGCAATCGATCGTTATTATTATGATATTTTAAGTGACTACCAGAATCACTTCGCCGAGCAGACAGTCAGCCGTCAATAAATACAGCTGCAGCTGTTGCTTTGTTGAAACAATTGCAAATTGAAGAGAAGAGAGAAGAGAGAGATTGCATGAAATGAAATGAATGAATGACAAGAGGCAATCATTCGTTGATCGAGTCACAATCGATTGTTCTCATTGGAATGTCATTAAATGCTATTAACGGCTGGTTTAAGTCAGAATTGCGCACAAATTCCGATCGAACGATGTCAATTATTCAATCAAGTTTGCACATTCACATTATAAATGAGACGACGTAACGGACGATGCAATGCAGTTCATTGACTCTCATTCATAAAAACTTTCTACATTAAGTGGCCACACATACACATATTTTATGTCATTTATGTGTGCAAACGTGCCGAACAAAAAAATAACAACGCATCACGCGGCCACAGAGAAAAATTTGTGTAAATTTTAAAATTAAATATCAATGCGAAAAAAGAAGAAGAAGATTCACGAAAAACAGCTTTGATGCAGATCGCTCAAGTGAACACATTTAGTGCAGCAGATTGACAGTTATATATGTAGCATAACATCAAATGTTACATGCGCCATAAAATCTAAATGTGAAAACTCTTTAAATCTCTCAATCTATTTTGTTTCTCGTTGCATATTTGCAAGTGCATTTCGAACGAATGCCCCCTTTTTCATATGCAAAACAGAAAAAGTGAACAACAACAAAAATCAAATAATGAACGGATTACCGTGCGTTGCCAAAAAAAGAAGAAGCAAAACAAAGAAATCATGTGGCTGGCAGCAAAAGCGACAAAAAATTAATTAAAGTCAAATAGATGCAGATTAATTCGCATGTGACAAAATTATAACGGATCTTAAACAGAACATTTAACATCAAATTCATTGAAATGCAACTCACGCCGCAACATACCATTCCAACTGTATTTACGGTCTATATATTCGATTTGTTGCTTTTTTTCATTTTTTTTTATATGTCTACGCACTCTGAGTGCATGCGGTGTGCTTCAAATGCATTCCAACATGCTTTCTCATGTACGCTACACATGACATGTGTCTGACTGACTCGCACTCTACTGCAAGAGAGCACACACACACACACATATATATATATATATATACGAATAAGGAGAAATGTATGGGAAATAGTAGATAAAAAAAAATCAGACAATGTTCCGATATGCAATTGCTCACAAATGAGAAAAGGAAGAAATATTTGTCTCCTCTTTCTCTCACATTTTTTTTTGTTCAATGGTCTTGGCTTAGGACACACGGTATACGCGCGTTCACCGTAAACTATGTGAACACATGCTCGAAAACTATTGCATCAGAAAGATAACCGAATACGTGTCGGCTTTTTTCAATGAAATGAGACTCACCATAGTTTCTGTGAAGTAAACTTTTCCTCGTAACGTAAAAAAGAGCAAATATGTAGACGATTAGATTATAACGCGTGCGTCTTCGACTGTATTTTAATACTGATTTTATTTTTCTTCTGATTCGTTTGCCCTGGATTTAAGGCGCTCCTCTTTCAGTTGAATGTCGAATTTTATTTTATTCTTCCTTGTTCAAATGTCTCGCAGCAAAAACGAATCGCGTGCTCTTCAATTGTTGAATTTCTTGGACGATTTAAATTCTCGTTTTCTTTGGATTTTCCCACCAAATATTTTATTTTATTTTAGAATGATTTCGATGCTTCTGAAGCTCCGATTATGTGCTACGTAATCGAATTATTAACGTTATTTATATCGCTTAACGCAATCGATAGTATTGTGAAAAATCTTTTCACTTTCATGCAAAACATAAGTAACGATTATTATTTATTCAGTGGACGTTTTATGCGGCCCTCTGATTTTCTTTCTCAATGGATGAAATTTAAAACGAAATTTTTTTTATTGCGTTCGATTTTGCGATTTGCTTGAAAAGTTCTCGTAATTTATCGAAGGTGTTTCGATTTTATTTTCTTTAAACAGTTTTCAACACTTTTTATCTTATTCACTTGAAATAAACAATTTTTACTCAAAATTAAATTTATTAAATATTTATTTTTGCAAAATAAAAAATATTTTTCTTTTTTTTTTTCAAATAATTTCTCTCAAAAATAAAATGATCTTGAGATATAATTCTTTAATAAAATGTGATATAGCTTTTGCTTTGTTAGAGTGTTTTCAAAAAAGAAATGCGTTTGTCGGGACTGAACGATCAAACTCAACTGTTTCCAATGCTGTCTCTTATTTAACTGACCGAATGAACGACAATAAATTTATTCATATACTCTTTAAAACCGACACATTCAGTGACTCAAAGCGTGCTTATATAGATTTTGTTAGTTTTTTTTTTCTTCTTTCTTCTTCTTCTTCGTTTTTTTCGTTCAAGTTCTTCTTTACGAAATATGTGTTTTACTACTGTATATAGCGGCAGCGATTGTTATATGTGAGACTAGGTGCTTATCGTACTGCATACAGGAGTTACAACATAAATGTACAGCTATACACACATACAGCAGCCTAGAGAGGAGCGCACAGGCACACACACATACATAAATACGTGCGCGCTCTCACATTCCCATTCTCGGGCAATCGTTAGGACCATTTAAGCGAGCAAACGAAATATAAAAAAGTGACCAGAATTAACGAAGGAAGATGAGACAGAAGACACGAAAAAAAGTCCATACACAAATACTATAACAAGAGTAAGAAAAAAATCCACTGAGATTATGACGATCATAAATTTTTGTCGCTTTTTTCCGTTGGGAATTTTTGTCTTCTTCGTTCCTGTGAGAGAGCCTTTTAACTTCGATCTCGTTTCAAAGAAAAGCGATAATATGATTTTTTTCGAATGCATTTAACCGAACAAAAAGATGATTCTGAAGCGTTCGTTTAATAAATTGCCTGATAATAAAGTGATTTGCATTGTGTTGGTTCAAAAAAGAATAAAAGATCATTCGAATTGCATATCAACCACAATCATTAAAAAAATGTTTCGTTCAACCGCATTGTAAACGATTTTAAAATTGTCGAAAGCAACATCGTTTGAAACCCAGATTCAAACTGAATGGAGGAGATAGTATATGTGCGTGTATTAATTGGCAGTGATTTATAAGCTTGGTATTATCGAAAATGTTCAGAATCTTCTACAGTATCGTCGTCACTGAATACTACGCATATACTCTATAGATAGAGTAGTCTTTTTCACCTCTAACCTTCGCTATTTCACTTCGATTGCGACGTTTACAAATTTTATAGAGAATCTGAACCGATTTTATCTTCTTTCCGTTTTGATCCAACGTTTTTCGTTGCAAATACGCGCTTTGCAGTACAAAATTCATAATTTGGAACGAAATTTCATCTGGAAATTTTAAAATCACCATCAAATTTGATAACAATCAGTGCATTAATTGAATTTACATGGAAAAATACGTTCGATTCAATGCTGCATGTATAGTAATTATATAATCTATGTACAAATCTTGAATCTTCAATTAACAAATTGTGAAGGAATAATTGAATTGAAATTATACTAACGATTCAAACGGAATCGTTGCAAATGGATGAGAAATTTATTGAAAATATTTACCATTTTTCTCTTTAATTAAATTCCACTTCGCTTTTTTGTGCAATAAAGAGAAAATTATTTGAAAAAGATTGCTGTTATGATAACTCTTTTCTTTACTCTGGCAGTTGTCCTTATTTTTGCAGTTAAACTTGGATTTTTATTACCGATTATTGCGTTCGTATTTATCACAATTTCTGAAATTCAATGTGAAGACTGACGGTAATTTGAACGTTTGCTTCGTATTTATAGTCAGGGCGCTCATACAGTATGAAAAAAGTTACCACTATGGATGGGCGCTGTTGGATCGCAAATCGGAATCGGATTTATTTACATAAATCGAACGGTGAACAAATGAAACCGATCGTCTGGTGCAGAAGCAAAACCAAATGAAACAACAAACATATTTTGTGTATTGAAATATGACATTACACATGATTTTCTTTTAATTAACGAAATCTGTAAACAATCATTATCGGGCGATTTTGTCGATTTCGATTAAATAAATTGAACTTATCGTGATATTGATTTTTTTGTTATTCCGTTTTGCTTTTCAATTTATGGCAATATACTCGAATTTTTGTGTGCGGTTTGCATTTTAATCTCGATTTTAATTAATCGCATTTATTCTTTATCAAATAAATGGAAGCATATTCTTGTTCCGCTACGTATATAAATGTGTGTGTATGTGAACGTGTGAGTGTTGATGCCAACAGTATATTGACAAAAAGAAATGCACCGAAATTGTATTCATTCAACCAAAAAGGCACATTTCTCCCTTTCGTTTTTTTCTCTCTCTCTCTAAATAAATTGATCGAAAAAAAAATGGTACGATACAGTAACGTCCAATAAAATCTCTATGGTATGACGTGAGGTAGCTATCGTACGAGCTATAGTTTGAGCGCGCGCGCACGTGACAACACACACCTCTCTTTACGTATTTTAGTACTTTGGCCATATAGGTATTTCATCATCCAAAAATGCGGTTGCTTGAACTAATCGTACAAACTCATCACAATGGAATGTTGATGCTTCGATTCTTGGTAGACTTTTTGGCCGCACCGATAAAAGAAACCGCATGTAATACAGCAACAAGTCTTTTATGTCCAGACACACACATATTCTTTCGCATTATTTTTTTATTGATGTCCTTTCCACACTTATTTCTGCATTTATCTTCGATGGTTACTTGTTGTTTAGAATTGCTATTTCTATAGGAAGTTTTCCAATGAATCTGTCATGTTTACACATGCGAGTGAGAATAATCGAGAACTATTTTATTTGATTGTTTTTTTTTTCTTTTTTCGTTGAATGCCCATTGTGAACAACATTGTAAACAATTTTCGAAGAAAAACGGTAGCTTTGATTTTCTTCGGTATGAATGAGTCACATGATCTTCTAAGAACTCTGATGACGACGGTGGTGAACATGATTTCCCGTTTGACCATTGATGTTAAGCGGACTTTTCTTCTTTGCATATTCATGTTTGAAACATGTTCATTCACAATTTCATTCATAAAATAGGTTGTAGAGCAAGTTCAGTGTGATAAATTTCGGTAATTTGGAAAGACATCGCCGTCTGTCTTTCTCAATTTTAATACGTTTTTTTTGCTATGCTTTTGGTTATAGAAATAGATACATGAATGAATGAGAAGAAATAAAAACTTGTTTAACACGTAAATTTGATGATTTTTCTAAATTGATGTATAGCATGACGTATGCAAAAAAAATTGAGTGCGGTGACTTTGTTTTCCGTCTCTATTTTCATAAGTTGATATTTTAAAGGAAAGAAAAAAACGAATATAAATCGCCCACTTACGCGAATATATCACATCAGTAGTGTGTTGAAGAGTTGATTATACGGGTTAACCAATTAAATTGAAATATGATGAAAAATGAGCGTACTAAAATAGAATATATATTGGTCACGTGATAAATCTCACGTACACCACTGTCTTTTCATTTCTTACTGTTAGAATTTAAAAAAAATGTATTTTAATAGCAGCAAATTTTCCTTTTCATCAGTCTAATATTCGCACATTAATAACATCAATTATAATTTTGTGTTAACGATAGAATGCCTGATATTCATAAACGATAATGAATTAAAAAGAAAAGAACAAACGAATAGAAAAAAAATTCATTGAATCAAATAATGTAGTAATTTAGCGAATTCGAGCGAAATCATACTGAAATGAATGACATTGAAAATGCATTTTGATTGAAATTTACAGTGAGAATGTGAGCGACACTCGACACAACCGACAATTTACGTTAATCCAAGAACAAAAGTCACATTTAATTTATGGTTTAATGGGCATCTGGCGAGATGCAATGTACGGTACAGTTCATAAACACACTCACTCGTTTCTATACAGAAATGTCGTATACATGAACGATGTTGGAGAGACAGCAAAAAGCGAATATTGTGTGGCTAGCAACAATGACGAAATCATGCAGCTGACTGCACACACTTTTTGAGCTACGTATAGCATGTCTCGAAGACAACCAACAACTTCAACAAGAAATTATAAGAAGAAAAAACAATCACAAAACGAAAGAAAAACAACATGAGAATGTCGAACTAATGAAAGTGGTTAAAACAGGTACGACACACATTCAAGCAATCAGCAACAGAACAAGCTTCTTATTTAAACTGAAAATAAAAGAAATGAAGTGATATAGACAGAGACAGAAATGCGATGTGTCTGTTGCTAAGCCACTTCCGAAGCAGTTGCGATCACATTTTTTTGACGTCGCTGTCACGGTAACTGCCTGTTCATCTTTGCTTTAAGTATTTAGAGTCATCAATCATTATATTATTCACTGTATCTCTCGTAATACGAACAATGTTGTATGCATATCCGATTCGAATTCTTTTTTTGACGTACATACACTGATATTCTTCACTTGAAACGAAATGAAAAATTATGGCAAGAGATACTTGAACTGAACAGCAACAGAGAGAAAGAGAGAGTGAGAGGGAGAAAAACGAACGGACGGAATCTGATGGACCGAATAAAAATAATAAACTAGAATCATCGATCGAATAAAATCATATAATATATATATATCGCACTCTTAACGGATTTTGTCACACATATGTATACTATATTGATACAGTAGCAAGACCGTTTCATATGATATTTCAATAGACTATTAACTTGTTAAATTCATCGTATATTTAGCCCGAACAGTTGTACGTTTTTCGCTTTCGACCACGTACCGGACAAATTGCTCAATTTAATCGCAAGCCTCCTTCGTCATCTCATTCACACACATAGCACAACGGCTCATTACGTTTTTCAACTGTGTGTATGTCATTTGGCATGGTATTCTCACTGAATCGTTTGTGCCTCAGCACTTTAAGTGACCAATTGAATCTATGTTGCAACGATGCATTATCATCATTTTACCTAAACACAATGGTGTATATGATGAAAATGAACACGAGATTTAAATCAAACGAGTTAAACAAAAACGAGAAA